CTCTTACACGTGTCGGAATAGGAAATCTTAATGGTGCCCTTTTCTACATAGTCTCTGAGCTGACGTACTCATCCCTATTCGGAATTCTTACATGCCTACCAGGGGACTACCCTCTCGTTGTACGCGAATATCACGATGGAATTTACTACGTATTCAGGTCGTCCTAACCCAAAATCTTGTTTTTGCTGTTGCAAATGCACTGTTTCAGTTACTACTTGGCCCGAATATTTTCCTACATTCCTCTGTTCAGTCTTGACGGTTTGTTGATGCTTTATGTTTGTTATTGGATGGTTGGATTTTCTAGCTCAGTCACACAGGTAATGTATTATATTTTTTTCGAAGGATTATCAGTATACAGATAACTTTAGGTTATTTTTGCCACGATTATCGCCTTTCTCGTTGAGCAGTCCTCATCCGCATTCGGAGTAATGCTAGCATGCATCTCTCCTTCATATCCGGTATTTTCCAGCAGTCGCAATTTAAAATGGTATAGGATCGCTGTGTCGTTGGAATCAATCTATTTCTAGATAGCAGTCGCTTTGGCCGGTCCGCTTCTTACCTTATTGTCACTTACTGGAGGACTTTTTGCAAATGTTGGTACTCTTCCACCATATGTATCATGGATACAGTATCTTAGTTGGTTCAGGTAAATCCTCACTGTTTGCTTCTTATTGTATAATCAGCATTGCTATTTCAGATATGGATTTGAAGCTTTAGCTATCAATCAATGGCAGGAAGTAAATGGTGTGAATTCCACTGACTGGAACACTCAGGTTGGCACCACATTGTACCTTCTGCTCTCTTTTCGTGCTGATCCTTTTTCAGTCACTTTCCCTATACGCAACTTATTAATTTCTTTTGCTTCGCGGTAACAAAAAGGTCGATGGTAGAAAAGTTTACTGTGTTCCACAAACATCCCTTATTTGTGCTTTTGTCTCTTTTCGCAGAATTTCTCGTAGAACGTTTCTCACAATGCTTGTTTTTTGACTTTTTCATTTTGTTTCTGATGATTTATTTTCTTCTCATCTACCTCATTGTAATTTTTTTAGCGACGAGACGAGGTGCTGTCGATGTTCTCATTCAGAGCTGATCGTTTTGTGATCGACTTGTTGCTCATGGTGGCATTCATCCTCGGATTCTATGCCATTGGCTATTTCGGGCTGTCACTTCGCGTGTTCAAGTCGCGATAGATCCCTCATCCTAAACTATTACCCTATGCCCAAAGATTTTCCTGTTATATTAAGACAATGCAATAATATCTCATCTTTAATTTAAATAAATTGTAAACTCCTTGTATTGAAGATCTCTCTCTCAAGCCGTTCATTCGCTTATTAATGTATGAATCAAATAAAGAGTATCTTACATCTCTAGTT